TTGCTCTCAAATTTTGACGGTAGCTAGTTTTATATATAAACAACAAAAACGTGTCTCCGAATTTTTTATTTCTAAATACTTTTTTTCAAGAGCGATTTTTGTACGATCACTCCACATTTTTTTAATCCTATTTCAAAAATGTTCTGTAACTTTTCACTGAAATTTTAATATGGCAAATCGCAAACACGTTTTTTAGCGCTTTGGCCCCGGAAACGGAGGAACACATTAAATAAGCGAAAAACAAAATTCGCTTTGACATGTAACGTTCAAAAGGTGATTCGGGTGCTCGCATTTAGAAGTTGTGAAAAATTCGACAATTCACTTTTTTTCAAAATTTTTGATATAGTCTGACAGCCAGTCCTATAAGCTTTAATTTGGTATAGGGGTTTAGATATCTACAGTTTAAACCGGACGCGCTACATCGCTTGCACGCGAGACACCCCTGAAGGTGCACGGTAACCTTAAAGCTAACTAAAAAAAAAGGTAGAGCTAAAAAAGTCATACCTCTGTTGCTACGTAATGACAAAGCAACGTTCCGCTTGGTAGAAAAAGGATCTATAAATTAAACAAAGAAAACATTCAAGATTACCTCATACTTCTTACTAGCTACGTTCAAGGTCTGTATTGTAAATCACAGATCAAGTTTTTCTGCTAGCATTTAAAAAAAGGTAAAAGAGAATAGTCAATTGCAAATTGGTCCAAAGCATACACAGTAGGAAGACTTGCTGTTTGTCAAGAGTAAAGAAGAACAGTGCTATTGTACGGCTTAAGAACAATTTTAAATGCAGGCGCTAAGAAAACGTAGGATGATCTGATACCAAGTTTTCCATACTATCATCTTAAGACTTGTATGACAGACAGCAAGGAGAATTACTAATGAGATCCTAAGAGTGAAAAGGTTAAGAGGGGACCTATGTGATTGTGTTTCCTTGTGCTGCTTATAGTTAAGTAATCAAAGTTTTGAAAGAGATAATGAACGTATGATGATAATGATAGCATCAATGCTATCATAACAGCAAAGGTGTTGTACGTATTCCCTGATTCTTGTATTTAAATCGACTAACGGGATAGCCCTACAATATATTTCTAGTTTTTTTAAACCAAGAACCACTGGATGTAACTTAAGAAGTAAGGGTGCGAATGTAGAGTAAGTATCATATAATAGCTCTTTTGCACATAATTCGCTCTCCTACATTGTATCTCATTAATGGAATAATTAGTTCTTATTAACCGAGGGAGAGGTCTGTATGGGAGAATCTTGACTGAGGTCGCCAGTACAGACCGAACGCAGTGAGGTCTGTACCAGCGACCGAGCCAGCGATTTTCCCAAACAGACCAGCGATTCTCCAAAACATTCTACCAGCGATTCTCCCAAACAGACCTCTCGCTCGGTTAATGACAGTGTTTATTATATGGCTGTCTTATATGCCAATTTTTTATATTCTTTGTACCTTTTTTTTCTAGACTGGTCTAGATGCTGGTCTAGATGGGAAAATCTAGACCGCTTTCAAAATTGATTTCAGCCAATCAAATTCGTGAATACGGTAGTTCCCAGTCCTTGTGAGACAAAGCCATGTAATAAATTGAAAAACTAAATCTAACAAAGCAAGTCTATCTCCAAATTTCAAAGGAGACTAAGTCATACTGATTTTACAGGTGGCTTCTGTCACTCCTGCCTATGAATTTGATTGATCATTTTTATTCCTATATACTTTTCATAGTCTAACACAATTATACACTCTATTAGGATCCTCGTATATTTTACATACTATCTTATATAGATTACGTTTTATTTTTAACTAATATTCTTACTTATTTCTTTGGTTTTTTTCGTGTCGTGTGTTTTATACATGACCCTTGTTGCTCAGAAAATGGGACGACCACTTACCATGTCATCAACAATAAATAAATAATTACATTATTACATTATTATTACATTATTACATTTTATAGATCATTACATCACATCTGAAATGATAAGCATACCTTCCATTGCTATCCTACGATGACCCCATTTTTTATCTTCTCTTTTGACAGGCCGTGGATCCTTGATGGAAATCGCCAGATTTGGAAAATCAAACTCAATACAGTAAAACCTGAGAATTAAAATAAGCCCATTTTAATCATAATCTCTTGAAGTTGACCGTTGAGAAGAGCAGAAATATATCTGGACTGTTATAGAGTGCAGACGGTAAGATTACAAATCTGGAGAATNAATGTGCTTCCTTTCTTTAACATCAAGAAATGGTTAGATATTCTAGTCTTCTCGGATAGGGACGAATAAATGGAGGTCCCGTCTCCTGCAGGGTTTGGGTAGGAGACGTTAATTTCGCACGCATGAGATTACTGTGTGATGGATATCCTCCCTGGGGTGGGTTGGGTGGTTAGATGAAATCGCTACGGACTAAACACGGCTGCCAGAGGCGCCTGTCTGATTTCAACCTTAAAATTGTAACTAAACACGTATGTTGTTTAGAGAAATAGAGACCTTTACCTTTACCTTTACTAAGCTTGAGAGCAGATTAACCCTTCTTCTAATTGGGAAGAACACCAATACTGACCATCAACTTTGTTGAGTTTTGTCTCTTCATTTTCTTGGGCTGAGGATCCAAGAACTAACTTGGACATATAGGTCTGCTCATGGGTGATAGCTTCTTTACAGCTGTAGCTAAGTATTACTTTTTTAAGGTTAGTTTTGGCCAGTTCCAAAATGTAAATCTTTGTGATAAAAGTAACATGTTACTTGGAAACAATACAGTATATAATGTTTTGAAACTCTATTCTCACCTAAAAAGCTGATACCACAGTGTTCCAATCTCTTCTTGATTCTCACTAACAAAGTTTTCAGCGGCTTTTTGGTTAACTTCGTCAATTGCCTGGAAAACAAAATCCTTAGTTTTCAGTAACAATTCCTTCACAGATTGAAAATTTAGGAAGATACACAGAAAAGAATGTAAGGAAATTGTAGCAGTTCAGAACTTTGAATTAAAGGGGTAAGTTTCTAAAGAAACTCTTCATTTGCTATGACAAAGGGCTAACACTAGAAACATCAGCCTAGAAACTCTTTTACAGTGGGCAATTTTTAACTCAATCAACTCACTTGATAACTAAAGACAAACCTGTCTTGTTCAGAACTTTGATTGGTTAGCTATAGGCAGCACAAGGTAACACAATCACATAGGTCCCCTCTGAACCTTTTCACTCCTAGGATCTCATTAGTAATTCTTCTTACTGTCTGTCATGCAAGTCTTAAGAAGTTAGTACGGAGAATTTGGTATTGGATCAACTACACTGTATCAATCCCCTGATTGACACTTTTCGTTAGTGTCATCACTAGAATGTCTCTCTCGGTCAGCCATGGGTATTAAAGGCTTAAAATTTTGTCTTGACTGCCTGACATACGAGGACCAACTTTGCTGTTGTCAAGCTTTCAGGTTTGCTTATGTTCTTTTTTGTTCCAAGCACACTCCCATAATTCTTAAACAGACAAGTATACTATTCAAACTAGCTTGGATTCAATTTAGCCTTGAGTAATTTTTAAACTACCACAGAAATGGACTTACCTCATGTGGTGCCCATGTAGGAAGAACTGGGGGCTTTGTCACTTGTAGGAACTGAATCACCATCAGAGCCATAGAGTACCCTGGTAAGCCTCCCTCTGATTGACAGTCAATGCTACAAATCTAACATAAGAAAAAACAGAGTACAATGGCTAGGTAACCAAACTTACAATGAACCAATGTTAAAATTTGGAATTAAAGAGTAAAAACCAAATTGGTGAAAAAGGAGATATCAAGCAAACTCACCCTTGCCCAGTAACGTAGGCCCACAACCAACTTGTGGACGCGAGAATCAGCATCACAGTACTTCTTCAACAAGCAGCTAGTCTTGGAAGCCTTAAGGAAATGATCAGTTACCCATAGATTAATTGTATGTCTCATTAAACTGATCATCTCTGAGTAGTTTTAAAGGGGATAAAAAACAGTAGAAACCACAAAATATACTTTGAATCTATAACAGTTAACTTGGCTCAGAATACAGTTTTTTTTTTGTGCCTTGTCTCTTTCAAGTTGCCCAAAGTACATGTCTACATGTTGAGGCTTAGAGAAAGAGAAAGATGTTTTCCTTGTTGTCACAAGCATGGGCTAAAGAAAATATTCTGAGTTCCCATGAGGAATTGAACTTTAGACTTTTTTACAAAGTTAATATATAACATGAGTCCCACGTACTACTAGGATTGGCAACGTTGATAGCCTCATGTTTTGTAAATAGAAGGATAGTAAGTTTTAGGCTTCGTAAAGAAATACAGGGAGATGTTTTTCATCTTGTCAGGAGTGTGGGACAAAGAAAAAATTCTGAGTCCTCATGAGGAATTGAACCTCAGACCTTTGGATTAAGTGCTCTGATGCTCTACAACAGAGCCACAAAGACTCTACAGTGAGCAAGGCCCATTACAAAGTTGATATAAGTTGACGCTTACTTAAAATCTTGAATTAAATATATTGTTTCCAGCAGTATAGTAAATGGGGGTGCCAGCACATTCCACATTTTGTGCCAAGTCGTGGCCAGGCGAGCTCTCACGCAAGCACAATAATTAATTTTTCAAAAGCTGACTCATCAAAATTTCAAATTGGCGGATAAAACTGGTTCAAACTGGGTCAAACCGGTTTTTTAAATATCTTACCATAATTTGTAATAAATCAATGTAAATAGCTTGTAAATCCTTGAGAGGAACCCAGCTGTTGAAATCATCATCATAACCTTTCCATTTAACCAAAGCTTGTTTATTCTTATGACCTCTCTTTATCACTTTATCAATTCTAAATATTTCTTGTTTAGCCTTCAATAATTCAGACTCATAGAAACTACCTTTGATTTCTTCATTATTTAAATCCCATCATCGATAGGTAATTGGATTTGTGTACTGTATTTTATCAATAGTGAATATCTCTTCTGTCCAATTTGGAGTATAGCCTTTATCGAACAACTGTCTTTTGTATTTTGATATACGAACCTTATCACCAATTTTGTATTTTGGTTTTTGTTTTAATGTGTTGATGTCACCATACAGATTAAAATAGACTATTCCTTTATTCTTTTTATTAGATGCTTCAGTAGGTGTCATTTTTATTGAATTTGTTTGGTATTATTATACTGACTTTTTGGCAAAATGTCAAGATATTGGGTATTTCCTTGGATAGTAAACTGTTTCCACATCTTGGTTTTAATTGTACGATTCCAACGTTCAACAACAGATGATTTCTCTTCATTTTCAGTTGAGTAAAATTTAACATTATTTTTATTCAGCAATTCTTCAACATGTTTATTGTAAAATTCTTTACCTTTGTCAGTCCATAAGAACTCTGGCTTTCTTCCTTCTTTGAAAATGGTTTTAAAAGCTTGGCTTATGGATTCACCCTTTTTGTCTTTCAAAGGTGCAATCCAACCGTATTTACTGAATACATCAATAACCATAAGAAGATATCGATAGCCTTCGTTCCATTTACTGAATTTCTGCATTTCAACCAAATCTGCAGCCCATATTTCATCAATGTGATTTGCAATTATACGCCGCCGAGTAAAGTTACGCTTGATGGGTTTGTGTAATTCATCAGCTAATTTTGCTTGCCAGTTTAATTCACTCGACAGCTTTTTCCGTTTTTTTACTTCTTTTGTTTTACACCAAGACCTAATATTTGTTTAGTATTAATTAAGAATCGAGCGGTTTGTCCCCATTTTGGCATCAGTCTCCATAAGGTATTTGATCTAATGATTTAACCATTTGACAATCACAATCACCTTTGTTTTTACCCGTATGATAAGCGGCTATTTCATCGACTTTATTATAACGTTTGACAATCCATTGTATGACTTCACCGGTGTTTTTATCATAAACTAACTGCTGATCGAGCGGATTGTAAGGTCCCATATATTTATATTGAGGAGGAGTCCATCCACCTTTTGGTTTTGGTAACTTACCAATCATTTTATGAATGTCAAAAGCACCGCCTTTATAAAGTGGATTAGTTGGATCATAAACACCTTGTGGTGAATACATTTCCATTGGATACCATTGTGAATAATCAATGTTACCACCGCTTATCTTTTTACTCAAATCATTCGTAAAGCTGTCAAGAGCTTGATCAAGACATTTATTTGCTGTTTGTTTTAATTATTTTATTCTTAGCATAATCTGATTTGATAGCTTTTGCAGCACCTTGTCGAGCAAGATAAGCTCCACTGTTAGCTAATCCTTTGAGAACCATTTCACCAATTGAATGACTGTTTCCTATATCAAACAATGCTCCACCTGATTTATTTTTAATGAATTTAGTTTTGGTTATACCACATTCAGCACAAGTGCACTTTAACATCATTCTGCCATTTTTAGCTGGTTCATATCTTTCACTTCCTGGAACACATTCTGTAAATTTTTTCTGCTTTACACTATAAGACCTCATATATAAATATGTTATATTACTGATGTAACTTATTTATTTTTAACGAATTTAGTTTTGGTCATACCACATTCAGCACATTTGCACTTTTAAAACATCATTCTGCCATTTTTAGCTGGTTCATATCTTTCACTTCCTGGAACACACTCTGTTTGTTTCATCTGCTTAACACAATAAGTCTTCATATATATGAATTATATTAATCTTTTGAAATAATTTTCAATGAATTTGTCGTTTTTAATTGTGTCATTTATATCAAACACTTCAAGAAGATCTTGATATGATTTACCTTTTTTCATTTCACTTAAGAAATACAAACAAAAACAACCACAAGTAGTTGTCATTAAATTTTGAATTTGATTATCTTGATGAAGAAGAGTGAGGTTCTTATTTTTTGCATGATTAACTATTTCTTGAAATGGTGGCATTCCAAATGAATCGAAATAATTAATGACATTATCTTTAACGAAAGTTGTTACCCAATGTGATCCAGGCATCTAAGATGGATGAAGATTATAAATGAAAAGAGTTTGTTTGTGATTATGTGGTACTTTTTGGTCTCTACTTAAAACGTTATTTATTGGAATTTTTAGATATTTACACCATTCAAGAAGATCGAAATGTGTCATAGGAATTGCTTTATGAAATTGTGGTTTTACAAAATTGATCCTAGTATTGGAATTGAATTGAACGGACTGTTTGGTCCTAGAAGCAATCCTTGGCCTTTTTTTGTTCTTTTGTTTTTACCTCTACCAACTCGACTATTTGGCCAACTTCCGATAAATGGAGGAGGTATTTGAGGCATATAAGCACCTAATCGTGGAGCTCCTTTACCACCATTTAGCGGTGGTCCTCCCATTCGTGGTGCTCCTTTACCAGAAATTATATTCTTGACCAAATCAATAGCCATTGAAATACCAATTGAAGCAAGAATAGTACCAATTCCTGATCCCATTTGAGTCTTTGTTGGTTTGATATGAACGTCTTGACCTGTTTGTAAAGTAATTAAAATATCTCTTTTCTATTTTTCAGTTAATAAATGTTTGTATTGAATGAGTTGACTTATTTTATTCTGTGGAATCAGAAAACCACCTGTTTGAACACCTCTTCCAGATATCGCTTTAACCAATTGAGAAGCTCCTTCACTAGCCAATCCACTAAGAGCAGACAAACCTAATGACTTTCGAACAGTTGGTAAAAGAGTTCTTCCCAAACTAAGTATTGATGTTAAAAGGCTGCCTCCAACTTGGTTTCTGATGTTTGTTTTAGAAAGTTTTATATCCATACCTTTTTCATTTGTTTACTTTTTTGATATCTTTTTACTACTGTTGTTGGAACAAATAGTTTATCATTTCCTGCCATTGCGTTTGAGGATAATCTTAATGTTATTGACTCTTTGTTTTTGTAAGCTTTACCTAGATTCTCTTTTGATTTGGTGATAGTTTAACGTTGATTTCATATAATTGTGTTATATCTTATATAATATACGTTATACAATTTATATTGTAAAACATATTCAGTTAAAAACAAATTATTCAATTTAACCATATATGAATTATATTATTTACACAATCAACAATTCATTTCCGACTTGGTTTATGATTACTTCTTTATCATATAGCACAACAGCATTAACTCTGTAAGCACTATCAGCAGCTGCTTGAGCATTCAGTTTATATCTAAAATTAAGCTTTTTAGGATCTTTTGTGACCTTTTCAGTTTGGCAAGTGAGATCGAAATATATAACTCCGAAAAGAGTATCAAAATTACTTGGATTAAGCTGTGTTCCTCAATTGTCATCATTCTGTCGCATTGTGTATTTCATTACATCATCAAATATTCTCATTTTAGATTCAGCATCATATTCAATTTCTGGATAAAATGTATTAGAATCATTTTCTAAACGACACATTGAAAGGTAAGAACCATTTCCTCTATCCACATTGATGTTAAAAGTGTCATATTCATAGGGATTAGCATCTTGATTATGGTCTTTATTACGTTGAAGAAATACAAAGACATACTTTACATTATCAATGGTTGGTGATATCTAAAAAAATTCTGTTGATCTGGTTTCAGCTGATGCTTCAAACATTTCTTGTTTATAAACCATTGATTAACTTTCATGAAGTTTGACAGAAACTGTTGATAAAGAGTATCTTTTGGAATCAATCTTGGAACCCATAAAAGGAATCGATTGATAACAACACGACCGTCATCAGCAGCAGCCGCTTTCCAGACTAGATTTGCATCACTTAACAGTGTTAAAGTGAATTGTAACTGCATTGGAGGTAACATGCGATCTTCAAGCTCTTCAAAAAATGAATAACGGTTTAGAGGAATGTCTACATTCACATTATTGTTTCCAGTTGTCAACAATCGTCGAGCTTCAAATCCAATGTTTTGATTTGCATTAGCTATTCTGTGGTCTGCATCAA